TGTGATTTCTTGCACATACCAAAAATGTCGGCCCCGATGGCATCCCGTACAAAAGCAATGCTGTTCCCCACTGCTTTTTTGCTACTTTCTCTGCATTTCCTCCGATTTCAAAGAGCTTTTTGCTCTCAAATATCTGCAATCCCAGGCACTGCTGGGATCTGACAGCCCTGACCGTCGCTCCCAATGCTCAGCCCAGTGTGTGCGCATCCGGGAAGCCATCCTGGCTTTGTGAGCATCGTTCCTCTGTCAGTCCACGAGCAGCAGAATGCTGTTCTTGTGTTCAGAGGACCATCTGAGCCATCCCTCCCTGCTGGGGGAGGCTGTGCTGTCATCGCCCCATATTTAAATAGATTAAAGTTAATGATGGGCTTAGGAAATATCAGCCCTGTTGTGAAGTAATGATGTTTGCTCAGGGGATGCTGGCGGCGTGGTGGCTGCTTTGCTGACATGGTTCCTTGCTGGATGAAATCATGGTTTGAATGAGAAGGAAGGGAAGTGAAGGACTGCGGGATGGAAGGGAAAATTGAGAGATAGGTGATGAACAGAAAGTGATACAGGGTCCCATAAAGTCCTGGTTTGGTGTTCTGCCTTAAGCACAGAACGGCATCTATGTCTGTCGGGAGCTGAGCTGGAAATGAATGTGGGAGATTGATAAGAAGGAAGGTTTGATAAGAAAATAGTTGATACTGAGGGCAGCGAGGCACTGCACGGGTCGCAGTGAGAGGTGGTGGTGCCCCATCTCCTGCAGACACCTGTGGTCAGGGCATGGGCTGTGAGCACTGATGGAGCTGTGGGTGTCCTCATTCACTGCAAGGAGTGGGACCTGATGGCCTTCAAGGGTCTCTTCCAACTCAGACAGGTCCGGGATTAGCAGGATAGCAAGATAAGGGGAAATGGTTTGAAGCTGAGGTTGGATGTGAGGGGAAGTTGTGTGCTGTGAGAGTGGTGAGGTGCTGGAACAGCTGCCCAGAGAGGCTGTGATGCCCCGTCCATCCGTGGAGGTGTTGGAGGCCAGGTTGGATGGGGCCCTGGGCAGCCTGGGCTGCTGTGAAATGGGGAGGTTGGTGGCCCTGCATTGGTGGGGGGTTGGAGCTTCGTGAGCCTTGAGGTCCCTTCCAACCCAACCATTCTGTGATACAGGATTCTGTGATTCAGTGATCCAAAGTGTTGCGTTGGTTGCAGTGCTCACATGTATTCCTTAGAACCATTGCCATGGAGGCACAGGCTCAGCTCTGGAAGTGCATTGAAGTGGGGGGAGCACGGAGAAGCAGCAGGGCAGTGCAGAATTTGCTCCATCCAATAAAGTTATTGTGCTCTTTGTAGTTTTTTCCATTTAGTTTCCAGGGAAATAAATCAGAGGCGTTACTCTTGGGGTCACCTACATGTGTTGGTTACTCTAACTAAAGCTGACTGCAGGCTGTGCCGTGCAGTAGATACAGCAAGCAGCTGGTTTGCAGGAGAGCAATTTGGGATGGATGGCTTCCTGTCCCATGTAGAAATAGTAACAAATCAGGCTGGGCTGGGCCAGGCTGGCCATGAGGATGTCAGCTGTGCTCCTTCAGTTCTGATCGCAACACCCAACATGACATTGATGTCATCTGCCCTCATCTCCCACTGCCACATCCCACAGTCCTGGCACAGCCCTGGATGGTGACCCCAACCCCTGGCAGCTGTGCCTGTGCCCAAGCACTCTTTGGACAAGAAATGCTCCTCTCTTCTGTGTGGATGCCAATGGGAGATGCTCTTCTGCACGGAAGATGCTTTGGTTGGCATTCTCTGGGGAGGAAAGAAGCAGACGGTTGTATTTTGGGTTGCATTCCTGCTTTAACGATGAGCTGTTTTGTGAGTAGGATGGGTGAAGAGGAAAGCTCGTGCCTGTGTGATATTTTGGGCAGAACCAGCGTCGAATGAGGGCTGGTTTTGATTCTGAGGTTGTTTACGTTAGAGAGAGTAAAGATGGCCACTGCCTTATTGCTTAATCTGTTTCTCTTAATGGATTTGCTGTTGATGACTCTAATCCGTATGAGAATTCCGGGGCTGTTGCAGTGAATGATGTTTAGCTCGGCTTAGCCCGCTGATATCCCTCACTGGGGATTGGGGCTGAGCGCCTGGCCTCGCTCACAGCTGCCTGGGGATGTGGCTGCAAATCCACCCCAGAGCTGGCCCAGGCCTGGGAGGGGGCGCAGAGCCCATAAAGCGGGGCAGGTGGGACAGGAGGGGGTTGCTGAAGTCTTTGCTCCCCACTGAAAAGCTCTTGGCTTCTTTTTGCCCCGTCCCTGGATGGAGCCCTGGGCACCTGAGCTGTGTCTGTGTTAGGGGCTGGCAGCCCTGCCTATGGTTGGAGCTGGATGGTCTTCCAAGCCAACCGTGCTGTGCTTCTAACCAGCCAACAAACAGAAAAGAAAGGAAAAAAAGCCCTGGCAGCACTGATGTTCTCAACGCATGGTGTGTGGTCACCACTCTCACTTATCTTCCTTTTCACTTTGGAGCTTTTGCTCACCATGGTAGCAGGAAATAGAGCTGCAAGCTTGTGGCCCTCAAAAATGAGCTTAAGGTGCTTCATGGTGGGGTCTTGCTCTGTTCCTTTCGACTCGGAGGATGAATTTTTGGGAGTAGTTGCATGAGTTGCTGCGTGGAGCTTGGGAAACAGCACCCAGGGGTTTTGTTCTGCATCAGTTCATGATCCATGAAACAGGGCAGTATGGATGAAATGTAAGAATTCTGATAGGAGAAGAGAACCAACTAGGCAAAAATACTCCATCCATTTATATGTATATCAAATATTGGAGGAGAAGCCCCATGGTGTGGGATCCTTGGGGTACTCGAAGGACACCATGGCAAAGCCTTGAGCAGCCTGCTGTAATTTGGAGCTGTTTTGAGCTGGGAATTGGTCTGAACGACCTCCAGACATCCCTTCCAGCCTTCATCATCCTGCCATCCTAATGTTAAATGGTTACGTGGGCTACAAAGCTGTCGGAGAAGCTCATGGGAGGCTGCAGGGATGCCTGGGGAGCCTCTAGGGTGAAAGTCACAGGGTGCTGGGGGGGCTTTCTTCTTAGGGATGGTGGGTTGGTTTTTTTCCTTATGTTTAGGAAAACTCCCTGTGGTTACTCTGCTTGTAAGCAGGACTTGGTTTTGGGACAACAGGTCAGGAATTACGTGTGGTGTGGGCATCCTCCTCTCCATAACACAGGGCCCTGTAGACTGGCGTGAGTTGCAGAGGAGCACGATGCTCATCCAGCTCCAACCCCTGCTGTGTGCAGGTCACCAACCAGCAGCCCAGGCTGCCCAGAGCCACATCCAGCCTGGCCTTGAATGCCTGCAGGGATGGGGCATCCACAGCCTCCTTGGGCAGCCTGTGTCCACCAGCACTCCAGGGAGGCCCCATGCTGTGTCTGCTGCTCGGAGCCGATGTCCTTGGAGTACTTCTGAGGTTTGCTGCCACGTGGGGGGAGCTGAAGGGCTCTTCAGTAACTCTTGCAGACTAATGAACACATCTGATTAAGGTTTGGCAGCTTTTCCCAATATCCCCCACAGCGAGCACGAATTCCCAGGCGGTTCAGTGCTCCGGATGGCAGAGTGCACCCTCCTCATTAATGGGTGGGTGGAAGCAAGCAGACTGGGGAGCGTGTTGGGCTGGTAATTGCATGGAAGCAGCACAGAATGGTTCCTCTGCCATCCCTGGGGCTGTGTGCAGGTGGGACCCCCTTATTGGGTGGGACCCCCTTATTGGGTGGGACCCTTATTGGGGCTGCCATGAGCGGAGCCCTCAACCATCCGGGTTCCCTCCCCCATCCTCAGTGCTGTTCCCAGGTGTGGGTCCATGACCTGGGCCGTCGTCCTGTGCGTAGCTCCATCCATCGATGATGTTGCTGTTCTGAATTAAAGAACTCTGCTCTGTTGGTTTGTGTAGGAGCTCTGTGCTCACCCAGTTGCTTGGTGTGTTTGCTGGGGCTGCTCGCAGGGATCCTGTGCTGTGGTCTGTAGCTGGTAAGGTAACATAGAACAATGTCTTCTGATGTACTGCAAAGCTTGGCAGCTGCTGGAGTTGGAATCCTGAAGCTTCAGTAATCCACATCCCGAGCAGACAGGCAGCTTCTGTTGGGTGGCTTTAGAATTGCCATCAAGGGAGAGGTTTTGTGCACCACTGAGTGGGCTGAAATAGCAGCAGTAATGGCAGCGCAGGGAGGGAAGGTCGTTCCAGTGGTGGCTGATGGCTGAGAGGGGAGATTCCAAACCCAGCTGTGCAGGATGAGCTCTGTGGGGGTGGATGGGCAGGGGGTGGATGGGCACAGGGCTGTGGTTCCACAGCACGTTTGCCGACAGCAGGCACTCGTCCTGGTGTTACTGTGGGTAAAATGGGTGAGAGATGAGGAGAAGTGGGGATTCGGTGGGGAGAAGAAGTAGAAGGGAGCCAACGTAGATTAGCTGCAAACCAGGGCTTTGTGGAACCGCTGAGCCGTCTCTGAGCAAGAAAACAGGAAGAGAATCATGGATTTTGCAGAGATACAGAAAACAACGTCCCTCTGTTGGGGTTGTTGTGCTGCTGTCCTTTGGCTGCAGACAATCCCTCGCCTTGTTGTGGGAAGCAGCACTGATGGCTCTGTCTGAACTGCAGGTGATGGGGGATGAGCATCCCAAGGCTCAGCGCTCTGTGCTGGGAGATGGCAGAGCTTCGTTCCAAAATGTAACAGCACTGAAGGATGGGAAAGTTTGCTGGTTTTACTTAACCAAGAGGTTCCCTTTGGCAGCTCCACGAGCCGAGCAATTGGATGCTGATGGCATTGGATGAGCGTTTGTTGGCCTCGTCCTGTAACAGGGAGGATGTTCTTCCCATGGGTGTTCTGGTTTGGGGGTATTTTCCCCAAAATAGCCAACCCGTAACCTGTTCTGTTTCCTCTTGTTATGCTAATGAATAATAGGGAAAAAAACAAACCGCCCAGCCAACCACACCAACAAAAAAGGCTCACACTGAAGTCTCCGTTCTTCTTTTTTGCCAGCAAAACCAGAGGAGCCCAAGGCAGCCGACGCCGTGACAGGGAACGACATCACAGCACCCCCCAACAAGGAGCTGCCCCCGAGCCCCGAGAAGAAGACAAAGGTAAGAAGGCAAAGACCTCCCACCTCCACCCTCTGTGCTTCCATGGCTCCCTTTGCTGGCTTTGCTGCTTCTTAAGCCCCAGCCACGAGTTCTGTTTTCTGAGCCACCACTGGGGAACCGTTTTGTTGAAGCAAACGCCTTCAGTTCTGCAGTTGCAACCTGTAGCAGAGTTGGCTGAGGAAGGGTGTAACCATTAAGGGTGAGCTTTTATTTCAAAGGTTGACATCTGCCATGCAGAAGTGGTAAAGATACTCAGTAACAAGTGTGCTGTGCCCATGCTCTCCTTGTTGACAGCATTGCATTTACAATGTAATTACATTGCAGTTAGCACAGAGGTGTCCTGCTCAGGACCCCACATTCCCTCGCCTTCTGGAGCATGGCAGAGCTCTGCTTCCCACAGCATGCAGCCCTTGGCACAGCCACATTCCTGCAGTTAGCACAGGGCAGGGAGCACCAGGCCATTGGAGCCGATGGGCTCGGATCTACAGCTTGCCATCCGCCGTGTGCATGTAATTTGGGAAGCAGCATCTTGCTTCCTGCGTGCAGGACTGGATGCCAGGAGCAGCCATCACTAATCCCAGCTTTAGCAACGCTTCCTTCTGTTGCTTCGGATGTCGCTGGAATCAATTTTTAGCAAACTGAATGGCAGAACTCCACTGGGCTCTGAAGGCATCGGAGCTGCTTCGTTGTCATCTCCGTTAGGCTCAGAAAATAGAAAGCTAATTCTTTTTCTTTCATTTTAATTGCCATTTTCTTATGTTCCTGCAGCTTGATATTTCAGTTTTACCATGCGCTCTTTTTTTTTTTGTTGTTGTTGTTGTTGTGTTTTCTTTCGTTTTTCTTTCGATCCCGGATTTTGCTTTTTGAAAACCCATAAAGCCTGCAGCATCCACACCAGCAGCAAAGCCCACGGCAACGAAAGCCAGGCCCACGGCCGCCACCAGCCCCAAACGGCCGGCCTCTGCCACTCCTGGCCCCCACAAAAAGCCCACCAGCCCCACGGCGGGCCCTCCTGCCACCACCACTCCCAAGCGCCCGGCCAGCAGCGCCACGCGGCCCTCCACCCTCACTCCAAAAGAGATTAAGCCAAAGGTAAGTACTGCCGTGCTGTTGTGGGGAGCCCCGAGAGCTTCACGTGCCCCCAGTTCTGCCCAGAAGTCAAACCTAATGCTGATGGTGGGAGGATAAGGCAGCAGATGTGATTTACTGTGTTAGGAGGCGTGCGGTTGTTGGGCAGTGAGGAGCTGGTGCTGCCCAGAGCTTTGGATGCCCATCTCTGGAGGTGCCTGAGGCTGGGGGGGGGTCCTGGGCAGCCTGAGCTGTGAGGCAGCCAGCTCAAGGCAGAGGGCAGGTCTGGAAATGGCTTTCAGCATCTTTCCAACCCAACCATTCTGGGATTCTTTGCCTCTGTGGTCTTAAAGAACCCTTCCAACCCAACCATCCGTTGGCTCTGTGATCTTTAAG